CTGGCAGAGAGCCAGTACGAAGGTGCTGATAACCATTTACTGGGGCCAGATTGATTCTCAAGCTCTACTGCATGAAGCAATACGAGGAGCTGTGGATGTAGCCACTGCCCTCCAACCCTGAATTTCTGTCCCACAACACCGAAGCCCCAGGTACAAAGCCTTTGCGTCATCACTCCGCGCTAATCCCCAGACATACCCCCAGGCCCAGTACCCTCCCCCGCTCCATCCGCCTCCCAACTCTTCCCCTCGCCGGCTGCGCTCCAGCTGGCGCCATCGCGCACACTCTCAGGTTTGTCGTCCCCACCCCCTTTCTACTTCCCCAACCCGCCCCTCCCCCAGAAGGTCTGCGGCAGAAGCAAGATCTACTTGTGTCACTGAGCTCGCGCTCCTCCTCCTCCTCCTCGCCATAGAGACAGCACCCAGCGGCGGTGGCGGTGGCGGTAGCGGCGGCGGCAGCGGATGCCCCATAGACACCGCTCGCCCAACAAGGGGGAAAGGGGAGCAGGAGCTGCTCCGCACCGTGCTGCGCCGTCGCTTCTCGTACGTCCTGGCGGGGGCGCTAGATGATGACGCAATACGCAGAGGGGGCGGGGCACGCAGATGACGGAGGCTGGGGTGGTAAAGTGCTGGGCGGTCAGGTTGCCTGACTAGCTGGTTTGGCGTCAGGGCCGCGAAGGAGGGCTCCCGGTCCCGGGCGGCGAGTTCCCTCCAGCTGGTCGCAGTCATAGTGTGACCCCCAAAACTCGAAGACCCTCAGCCGGGCTTGCTTAAGAGAAGACGCGGCTGCCCAGCACTTGGGCCCCAGGCGTCCCTTCCCGCTCCTCTGTCGCTCGAGAACCGCCGGGCTGAGTAGCTGGGAGAGGAAGCAGGCCAGAGCCGTCTAGGGCCTCGGGCCCGGGGACCCCTGGAGGATGAGCTGGCTCTTCCCCCTGACCAAGAGCGCCTCCTCCTCCGCAGCTGGGTCCCCCGGTGGCCTCACCAGCCTTCAGCAGCAAAAGCAGCGCCTGATCGAGTCCCTTCGGAACTCACACTCCAGGTGACTGGTCACTGCCTATCTTTCAGGAAGAAAAAGTAGGGCGGGAGGGAGGGCGGGTTATAATCACAGAGCTCCTCGCCAGCTGCCCCATTTTGATACACCTGGGTTCGTCCTGGGTCTCACGCTTGCTCTCCCATCTCTGATCCATATTCAGGATTTTCCTCCGGACCCTCCCCCGTTCTTCTCTCTTGCTCCACCACTGCTCACCTTTTCTGATTTTGAGTTGCTCATCCCTCCTGACATATCGCTTCTGACTGTAATCTGTCTCATAGTCTGTCCCTTTCTATGTTCTGCTTTCTCACCTTTCTCTTTGCCCACTGATTGCCGCTTTGGCCAAATTGATAAAATATTGTACTTGGCTGAAAAGAATTGTGAAGAGTAATATCCAAGTTTCACAAAGAGTGGACAGTTTTTGTGGGGGCAGGGGGAAATGTTGCAACAGCAAAGGAGAGGGAAGCCCAAGTTTTTATCAGCGAGTTCTCTGGGAGTGACATACTCAATCCTCTTAGATCTCTTTAGATTTACTGTGTTCCAACTACCTCTCCGTATCTGGCAACTACCAGTCTCTACATTCCTGATTATTATTCTTGTTCCCACACTCAGGAATTATCTTATATTCCTCCTGATTGTTCTATTGTTTTCCTATGCGTTTTTCATTTCAGTGTGGTCAAATTAGAAATATTTTGCAATTCAAGTGATTTCAGCTGTTTTTACTGTAATCTGGTTTGCTGCCTCCTTTTATATTGCAAATATCTCTGGCCTCTAATGTTTTTCAGAAATTAGAACTCTTTATATGAATTATGGAAGTATATTTACTTAATGGTGTTACAGCCTGTATTTTAATGTGAAGATGTTAATATTCAACCCTAACTCTTTTTAAAATTTTTTCATACATTTTAAAATATATTCTGAGATAATAAAATTGATTAAGTCCTGTTGAACAAACTATTAGGGGCCATTTTATCTGTTACACTAATTTTTTCCAACCAAGTTATAGTGTAGAATAGTTTTAAATTAGACTTAAAAAAAATTTACTGCAAAATCAATTTTGCTAAAATGAGGCCAATTGTTGATTGAACTTTAGCTATCTTTTTTGGTTCTTTGCTTTAATTCTTCTGCTTGTTCAGAACTTTCAAAAGGTGAAGATTTGTGATATTTAACAGGAAAGAATGGGATGCTCTTTGATCTAATGGCTTTCTTTTTGGAAAATTAAGTTCACCGAATTCCTACAAGTCAATCTTTTTCTAAATAGTGTTCTATACTAACCTGTAAGAGTTACTCTTACATGCTATGCTTTTAAAGTAAGATGATTCATTTTTAACAAACATAACAAGATTTTGTCCCCCTCGAAGGTGTCACCTTGGAAGACTATATACTAAACTAGTACTACTATTGCCAAAATACTTTTTAGAACCACACCTTTGGAATTAATTGCTTTTAAGCCTTTAGTATATTCTGTTAAATATTGTCATTGCTGACTAATTTTTATTCTTGGAGGTTGGAGTTGAATTTTTGAAATATTGCGAAGCCCCTGGCTGCTAAGGCTGGTAAATATGAGAAGTGATTGATCTGAAATTTATTATGTATATTTTCGGCCTCTTAAGTAAGGTGACATTCTAAAGCAGGAATTGTTAATCTAAGGAGTTCTGGAATTGGTTTAAGAGGATCAGTAAATACTGAGTCAAATGCAGAAAGGATCCTTTTATGTATTTTTTGAGCCAGAAATTATGGATATATAATTGGGCATGTGATATTATCTACATATTTTACAGTGTTATAAACATCTAATTTTAAGTACTCTTTTTTAAAGATCTTTTATAAAAATACTTGAAGTTTTATTTATTGAAATATTACACATTTATAATCTAAACTTGGATAATTCTGGATACAATTAAGTAGGTCATGTATTTCCAGTTTTCAAGGAATGGTATGATTCCAGAAAAAAATGACATACACGTATTTTTGTTAAGTCTGCCCTTTTAACTAATGACATTTTAAAGCTAGTAAAAATAATTATCTGCAGTATACTATGACACGTACTAAAAATTTTTGCGTAGAAGGGCATTGTGATTGGTTATGCTGAAGGTGCACTCTGCAAAAGTTGAAAGAATGTTTAGAATGATATTTTAGTGCAGGGGTCCCTCAAGCCCCAGGCCACGTCCAGTAATGTTCTGTAGCCTGTTAGGGACCTGGCCGCACAGTAGAAGGTGAGCAGCCAGCAATCAAGCAAAGCTTCATCTGTATTTGTAGCCGCTCCCCAGCACTAGCATCACCGCCTCTGCTCCACCTCAGATCATCAGGCATTAGATTCTCATAGGAGCACCAGGTTGAGGACCATTGTTTTAGTGAATAATACAAAAACTTCTTAAATTATGAATATCAATATCCTGTTTATGTGGTGCACCTTTCTCATTTTTCATATCTATCCCTTCTCTAAATATAAGGTCGACAGCTCTTTCTTGATGGTGAAAGTATCTGACTTTTTTCTGCCCTCCTTAAGAACCTTTCCCCACCCCATTTTCTCATCTACCTTTCAACTCTTATCTTTTAACAACTTATAATCTTAAAAAATCCACTTTAGGAAAGAGCCTATTTAATTCCCTTTCTCTAATGAATATAAATTCATTTTTTGTTACCTTAAATTCTTCCTCATTTTCCTCAGGCCTCTCCTAAAAGTTGAATTTTGTGTATATTTCCTCATCTAAGTCAGGGCAAGGCAAATGAGAAAGTGTCATAGATGACAAAAAAAGTGTTTAACCAAAGCATAATAATAAGTTTGCTGTGAAAATGGAAATTGAAAGTTATGTACACTAGGCTCAAGTAATATATCCCACCTTCTGAATAACAGTCATCTAAGTATTTAAGTTACCACCTAAAATTCCTGACTTCCTAGGCAGGAGTGGAACTAATTCTGTTATTTCTTCTACTTCCTAAAGCTCGCTCACTCTAAGGAACACTGTTGGTCCCCCACTCAAACTCATTTCCCCTGACTTCTTGAGAGAACATCTGCATTTATCTGTCTGGGTTCTGGGTCTGCAAGGCCACATACTTTATGGAGGCTATGCTCTGTCAACCCCAGTAGGTAAATAATGATTGTTTATGCCAGTGATGGTGGTCTCATTACCCCTGTTAGTTATTTTAAAAGCAAGATTCTTAACCTAAGAATCAGTGGGAGTTGGAGAATTCTGCTGGTGAGCTGCTCAAAATAGAGATGCTAAAAGGAATTGCTTCTTATGTTTTGGATATTATTGTTACGTAGGACATCTGAAACTGCTTGGATTAAGAAGGAAGACAGACCTACTACTGAATATGGTAGAGTAGAAAGATGGAATGTCCTTGATGATGTTGTGATGCTAAATTAATTCTGGAACCTTCCTGCCCCTGGACTTCTTGCTATATAAGATTAATAACCCCTCACTAAGCCACTTTCAATCTGGGTTTTCAATTACTTGCAGTTGAAAATACCCCAGGTGATACTAATCCACTATTTAAAGATTCTTCAAAAGTGAAGCTGATAAGTATTTTCCTGCATTGCACCTGCAATCAGGAACTATTAAAAACTGATGATCTTAACAGTTACCATCCTAACTATTGTAGATTTTTTCCTCTCACAATATCTAAAGTTAATTAGCATATGTTTTTATTATTTTTTTATATCCTTTGTTCCAAAACCACAACCTGAAGCTATGTTGTGAATGGTAATTACCTGTTACTAACTATGTAAATCTAAAGTTATACAATAGTAATCCTTTATTACTTTTTACTTAGGGAGATTAACTCTCTCAAGTAAAGGACTTCTGCATTCATTTGAATAATCAAGTACATGGTAATTCTGGTGCTATTTTTATTTTATATCCAACAAGAATATCTAATTTGGGAGTTATGTTTATTAGAATTGCCTTTTTTTTAATGCTGGTATGACTAATAGTCTTAATGAAAGAGGCCCTAAGTCTTAAATCAGGCGATACTGATGTGTCATTAACAGGCAGTGCAATCTCGGATGTTCTCATAACCTAAATGGGCTGAAGTGAGAGAACTGACTACCTGAATTCTTAATGCCCTGTCCAGCAGTGAAAGTCTTGATTCCTCAGGTTTCTTGATGTATGTATGAGATAAAAAACAAAATGAATTTGAGCAACATAAATAGAAGTAGCACAATTATTGATATTGAGAAAAGCAGCCTGACTTAAATGAATGAAAGCTTTATAATCAACTCATGAATTCCAGTTCTGACTCTAACGTGTACTAGCAACATGACCTCTTGTATAGTTACTCAGCTTCTCTGAGCCTCCAGTCCCCATCTGTAAAATCAGGAATTGTGATTCCTATCGTGCAAGATTGTTGATATTTAAGTAATATATATAATCATTTATTAGAGTATCTGACACATAGTAAACATATTATAAATCATATTCCTTTTTCTATTGCATAGAATCAGTGTGCCTGGAACCTTTGCCTCTTGACCTACATGCTTCTAGCGCTAGCTTATTGTTTATGAATTCCTCACAAGTCTACCTACAGCTCATTTGTCTCTGACAGAACTACCTCTGACTTTCCATTCAGAAAGCAGGTCCATTCCACAAAATTCAGAAAGCAGTTTCTTCACAAATGGAATGTACCTATTTTGAAGGATTTTAGATATAATACATGTAAACAAACTAGACTATTATCTGACACACAGTATGTACTCTGTAAATGGCAATTATTTTATTTTGTATCTTAAAAATAATAGTTCCAATCTCTATAGTCTTTAAAAATTACTTTGGGATTTTCTTTTGCTGCCAGTCCCTGGATACCATTGTTCTTTCTGATTACCCAAACCTTTAGCCTTATAACTTCCTTGTTATAGGTCTGTTATTGTATAGTTTTCTATCCTATAGCTGTTAAGTCTAACCCCTCACTCATAGGCATAAGACTTTTTCTTCTAAACTCATGAGTTTCTGAGTAAGTCTAAATTCCATACCTTTCATTCTATAGATGTCACTATCAGCTCATAAAGA